AACAATAAAAGTCATTACTTGGCGTGCGCTGCAATAACTATTAGTTGTAAAATAAAATAATGTACCAGACGTTTATAGAACTTAGATACTTTAGAAGTTTACTGAAAATATATTCAACTATTATAGCTGAGTGAGAATAACAGCTTTTGTGTTCTAAATTTTAATTAATATCTGGTAGAGAGGAAAGTTATAAACACTTTCATTATCAAGGTTGTTTGTGTAAATTATTTTTTAAATTATTCGAATCGGACATTTGGTTTAGAAGCTATCACGATTATAATGTTATCTTAAACGCAAAATAAATGCCGCGATGTGACGTCTTCTCCTTTCGTTTTATATAATATACTTTGATAGCTACCTTTACATATACCCTCTTTAACGCGTGAATCAACTTTCGCGCGGAAAGAACGCGCATGTAAAGATAGAAAAGAAGAACGAGAATGAACGCGCGCACCGCCTGCTCGCGCATTCACTCATACCTCAGTCATGCGTTTACGTGTCTGCGCTTCAAACATAAATTACACCCGCGTTTTTGTGAAAACGATTGTCGTCAAAATGGCGGACATTAGATTATGGGGTAAATATCTTATTACAGAGTTCTTGGCAACATCGTTTTATGTTTAATTTTATTTAATAAAATATTAAAAATAATAATATATAATCTATTATACGCTTAGACCAGCAAACATAACTGCTTGTGTAATATTCCTCCTAACCCTTTTGTCCATCTCTTTAGAACACTAGTCTTCAGAACGTGCGTTTATCAAACCTGCGTGATTTTCATATACAGATCGCGAAAGTTTCTTGTTCTGAATCACACGCACTTAGCCTTTACACGACGCTCTTTCCTCTCTAAATAAATATAGAGAAGTAGTATCGCGTGAAAGAATCAACGCATATAAGAATGGATAAAAGCAAACACTCACGAATGCGCGTGCAAACTTTCCCGCGTTCAATCGCGCACACTCCGATCTCGAGTGAAAGAACGTGTCGTGTAAAGGCGGCTATTGGTTTAGTATCTGTCTATCCTAACCTTACTACCTACACGTTTATGTATCCTAATACTAATATTTATATATATATATATATAGGCTTAAGGTGTAAATATGTATTATATATTTATGCTTTTTCTTTTTACACCATTTCATCATTACAGCCCTTCACAAGTCCACTGCTGAACATAGGCCTCCCCCAAAGAATGCCACAAAGCACGGTCCCGAGCCACCTGAAATAACCCCCAATGACTAAAGGTGGCACCATTTACACCATAATAAAATAAAACAAGCTATATTCCTTTTTGATCTTGAATTGGTAAAATATAGGTTATCAGTTATAACGGATATACTTTATATTTTTTTAATAAAACTAAAGCCCGACCTAACAGTTCACCTAATGGTGATTGACTACAGCAGGTCATGGACACTTGCAGCCAACTTCAAGGAAAGCTGCTACAGATACTCTTAAAACTAAGAAGTCATGCTATTATACTGTCACTCTATGCCCTTCAAACTGGAACATAGCATTGAAAGCGCTTCTGTTTATTGAATTAAACAGAAAAAAGGGTCGTGCCTACCTAGACTAGAACCGAATTAAATGCATTTGTCATCCATTTCATCCATTTATCCATTACAGCATATAAGTCCACCGCTGAACACAGGGCTACCAATGCCACAACTTTTAGATTTTTTGGAGTTGTTAGGAGGAAGATGCTGCTGTCTAATTCCTGTTTCAGTTACCCTTTGTCGCATCTTCGGGTAGTAAATATTTTTATATTATCCCTACATAAGATAAATTAACAAAATAAATGTAAGTATATAACGGCATGACGGTGGCGTCGTCGTACGACGGTACAGCAAAAATTGAAATTAACACGTGCCCCGATCACGCCACCCGACACGCCACCCGATTTCCTTATCCTTTGAAATTAATTGTTATCATTAGTTATAAAAGTGCCCTGGTGCAATTTATAATTAATAAAACTAAATAACTATGACTTCTTATTTAGCCTGGCTGACACCCTTTCTCCTACATATATATGTAGGAAGGGTAATTGAGTAGTACAGAGACTGATTTTGTAGTTAGGAATAATAATTAATTCGTTTACACGAATTAATTATCCAACGAGTCGAGGATAAACTAGTAACGGAATACGACAAGCGCACCGTTCCACGTCAGAGCCAAGACTGTCCTAACGGCGGCCGCTCAGTCCGTTTTATACAAGCAGGACGGGCGGCAACGCAGGTGCGATGCCGCAGGTGTGCGGTACACGTGTAGTTTACAAGAATTCTGTCTAGCTAGACCGACGCCACCGCATCTACAACGGTGCAGGTGCCGTCACGGCCATACTGACATGCGTGTGTCCTCGCACGCGCTCCATCTCAATTTTAGTTATCTGTAACAACTGTAATCTGTAAAACATCGTTCGATTATCCTGACAAAACAGCGTCTGGTCCGGTCTATACTGACCCTTCAGACTCTGGTGATAATCAGTTTTGTTCCGGCACTAAGCCCTAGAAAACTTTTATCAACTTTATGCTAGATCGGAATGATTAGTCTGTAGCTTTTTCTATTTTCTTTTTTTTTTTCAAGTACTGTTTTCGCTAGTCCGGAATCACTATTCCCTATAGCTATATCACTGGACCGGCACAAAGCCCTGCAATGATTGTAAGAACTATTTTTTTTTCTTACGCTTTTTTTTTCAAGTACTATTTATGCTAGTCCGGAATCACTATTCCCTTTAGCTATATCATTGGACCGGCAAATGCCCTGCAATGATAGTAAGAACCACATTTTTTTTTCTTACTCACTTTTTTTTTCAATTCAGTATAGAACAGTTACAGACCAACCATACCGCAAACATGTCCCCGTCACAATCACACAAAAGTGTATCGTGAGGGACGTAGTGACACACGATAACACCTAAGTATGTAAACCAACAGCAACTCGACACATATCCCAGTGCAGCACAGACCAGCCTCCCTGCAACTTCATGTTCCTTTCCTGCTCTGGAATAATTATTTCGCTAGAGTGTTGCAACGTCTCTAGTATTTTCTAGATGCACAGACACGGCTACCTCTGACTGTCGCACGTCTTCGCGCGGTTGACAGTGAACAGCATACGGTCTATCAGTGATCACCACTTGCTAACAGATATTAACTCTGTTTAAATATTACAACGGTCGACCATCCCAGACTTCATTTAAGTCTGGAACGCGCGGATATGGCTACCTCCAGGCAAACGCACTACAGCTTTTCGTTCTGCTGCGATCGTGCCACATTCGCGGCAGCAAGTCGTCGCGCCGTACTAGCGCTAGCGAATCGTTGCACTGCTTTGCGAAAATTAAAAGAAATCGAGATAAATGTATTGCGAACCATGGAATTCCGAGCTTCCGAAATTCATCACATATTCTCTTAAGAAACAGCAACTGCACGACATTTGAAAACATTGCAAAAAAAATGGAAACTATGTGTAGACACAGATACCACAACATATTTCGAAGTGAAGGAGGAAACTACGGAAAATGTACGAAAGCCGTCCATTTACAGCGCCATAGCACCATTTGTTCGGCGGCCGCTTGAATTGCCCTGCCGTAAGATCAGCCGATAAGTAACCGACTGTAGCGGTGTAGGCTCAATCTAACCAGCGCTCGGCCGTACCTGACCATGTTCGATTAGCCATCACAACGTCTTCCTCATTGATCATTGTTGTAGAGACTTCTACGAATCCCTCGAAATCAAACCCCAATCTTGTCAACGATACAATAATCGGAGCATACTCCAACACTGATCAACACATTAGAACACAAAAATACTACTTAGTGGTTTTAAGTCATAGCACGTTAAAGTAATCATGTTCTTTTTTTCGGTACATCGTTTAAACATTTTGAACTTTTAAACTAGGCCATGTAAATCACACCTCGTGTATCAAATTATAACATTACTTGAGCAAGTTAAACTTCCACTGAATGCAAACTATAACTCAATCAGAATATCTCCAACATTTCTTTCGACATTTGTTATCATATTTGGGTACGTTAAGAAATAATGAAATTACTTGCGGGTACTTTCTATTATAAATTGAATAAAAAGATTTATCTTTTGACTTAAAACATTTCACTTAAAATTTTACTCTACACTTTAATGATTCGTCGATGTCGTAAATACGACAACAAACTTGATTTAAGAAATTGAACACAAAAACAAAACGAGAGGCGCATTATAGTATTTCACCAACGTAATAACCCTTACACTATTCAAAGGTTATAGCAGGTGGGCAGTAACAGGGACTTTATCCCACTTCTGATGTAGGAAGGGTAATTGAGTAGTACAGAGACTGATTTTGTAGTTAGGAATAATAATTAATTCGTTTACACGAATTAATTATCCAACGAGTCGAGGATAAACTAGTAACGGAATACGACAAGCGCACCGTTCCACGTCAGAGCCAAGACTGTCCTAACGGCGGCCGCTCAGTCCGTTTTATACAAGCAGGACGGGCGGCAACGCAGGTGCCGTCATGACGGCACCTGCACCGTTGTAGATGCGGCGTCGGTCTAGCTAGACAGAATTCTTGTAAACTACACGTGTACCGCACACCTGCGGCATCGCACGCAGACGTACAGTTGTTTGCACCAAACTGAACGGGAGTCAGTAGACAGATATAGAGGAGAAAGTTTTAAAGAATGGGTCATTGAAAGTATGATATTTTAATTAATAAAAATTCAGCAAATTTGCTTAGCTAAACTTGGAGATTTTTTGTTAGTTCATGAAATAAAAACAACTCAAGCAAATTTCTGATCTCCTTTTGAAGTCAAAAGACTTAAAAAATGATTACTAGCAGTTGCACAAAGGTTGTTGTTTTTGAAATTTTGTATATGAGTTGTAATATTTTTCAGTGTATGATATAAAATATTAGATAATTAATATTTTTTTATATTTGTTTCAGGTAAAAAAATAATGAAGCTGTTATTCAAGTACGTATCATAATATTCAAATGTTAAAATGGATATTAATCATGTGATATTGGACAAAGAAGCAATTAACCGATTTGAGCAATACACGCCAGCCAAACCAACACTAAATGGGGGAATTGTATTGGAAAAATGCCAAGATGTGGATTCAATGGCTTCAACTAGCAAAAAACGAACTCAAACTTCGCGCCAAAAAGTTGTTTGTTGCTTCTGTTTCAAGACTACTAAATACAGACGAAAACAGTTTATTATTGGATCTTTAACAAATATAGTTATATTTTTTATTCTACTAGCGTATACTTTTTTTGGTTCAATTATATTTCTTACAATTGAAGGAGAAACAGACATAAATGCGCGACCAAGATTATTACCAGATAGACAAAACATTAATCAAAGGGATCAGAATAACACAAATCAAAAAGAAATGCACAATAAAGATCAAGATAACAACAATTTAACCCTTTCTGCTAATTATTTTTGGGATGCAAGAAGCAAAGCAGTGGAAAATATATGGGAGATAACAGTTTCACTAAATATTTTGTACAGAGAAAACTGGACGCGGTTAGCAGCACAAGAAATTTTAAAGTTTCAAAATGAACTTGTACAACGCGTTACAACTGAAATGGCATCCCAATATGGTATCAGTTATAAGGAACTTGCCTTGGGAGAATTTGGTAGCGGTGATGTAAGCAATCACTACGAAGAGTATGAATGGAATTTGGCACTTGCATTTTTTTATTCACTGACTGTCTTAACAACTATTGGTAAGCATAATTTTTAGCTTAATAACCTAACACTTGACATATATATATATATATATATATATATATATATAATTTAATTGGCTGATGTACATTAAAATATAAAAACAAACCTCATACAGTAGTCAAATACTCTAAAGACTTAATTATGTGGTCTAGAACATTTTTAATAGAATAAGGGTGACAAGCGAGCATACAGCCCACCTGATGGTAAGTGGATGCTGTAGCTCATAAACATCAACATCAATTCTCGATTAATAATCAAAATGCAGATGTGTTGTCACCCCTGAGGACTAAGCAATGTAAGCATGATCGTATCCAGTTAAAAGGGTATCCGGTTTTCTACACTCACTATACGAATCATTGAGATGCTATTTTACGCTGGTATTCTGTGATAGCGTGGTTCTTCCTCAGTCGAATTGACCCATTTATGCACAACCATAAGAAAGCTGTATTGTAGCTCTACCACGTAAAGTTGAAACATAATATGCATAATATGCGGATTTTACTTGGTCGGAACTTTAAACGGTAATTAGCATTTTCAAAGCTATATTAACTTACAGAACAGAATATAGTTACTTGCGTATTAATTTTTTTTTTTGATTTCAGGTTATGGCAACATTGCACCGAGAACAATTCTTGGCAAAGGAGTCACGATTTTATATGCGATTTTTGGTATTCCATTAACACTTGTTTATCTTTCAAGTGTTGGTTCACTTTTATCCAAAATGGCAAGAAGTGTTTTTAGTAAAGCACTGTGTTGCTGTTTATGTTCAAATTGTGGTTACTGTTGTTACGATGAACGTCGTATGGCAGAAAAGGAAAGAAGAATGAAACTTCGCAGACAGCAAGAGGAAATGCTTAATAGTCAAAACACTAGTAAGACCCCAACGGAAGAGTGCTTTGTTTTGAAAACTGACAGTCAGAAAGATTCTTCTAGTTCTGAACGACCAACAACAAGTACAGCTAAGGATGATATTATAAGTTGGCCTGATACGGACTCCAAACTTTCTATGCACGGTTTAAGTATTTTAGCCCCAGTTTTACTGTGTCTTGCTGCAATATTTATTTATATTGCTTTAGGAGCAATAATTCTTTATAAAATTGATAATATGGGTATTATAGACGGATTCTATTTTTGTTTCATGGCTCTTAGCACTATTGGATTCGGTAGCGTAATCCCCGGTATGAGCTATACGACTATCAATGGTGTTAGATATTATACAATTAATTCTTCAACTTTGTGGTTTTGTTCTGTGTATACATTAACTGGATTAGCATTAACTGCTATGTGTTTTGGTGTTATTCACGATGAAATAATATATAGAATAAAACATCAGCAAAAAGAATGGTCACAAAAAAATAATATTGTAAACGATGAAGGTAATATAAATGATCCGTTTTACATGAGTTCTTGACAAATGTACAATAAAAATAAGACGGAAAATCTGTATAGCATTATGGAAGACAGTTCCATAATTGAGCGTACTAGAATTGAAATTGACAATAGGGATATAGTCATAAGTGTGGATGATATTTCATCAGCAGTTGATACAAATTCAGAGTTTCCTCCACCGCCTCCTGAGGAGGAGATTGTGGCAATAGTAACAAAAAAGGAGCCACAAGGAAGTTTCGGTAACATGGTTGCTTATAACGCACTACCAGAAATGCTTGATCATGTAAATAACTAGTATTCTACTTTATGCAAAATATTTTGTGTACATAAATTTCATATATTGTTTTTATATCTGTAAAAGGATTTTATTGGTGATTTATTGTAGTTGATAAATATACATATGATTAACATCAATTAAAAAGTCTGATATACAAAAAATATCATATTGATTTTCATAGTTGATTTGTAACTGTAATATAAATGTAAATATGTAAAAATAAGATAGTAATATTATAGCCACTAAACGATGTATGACATCTTCTAACTAAATCTATTTGTAACTATTTGTCAACTGTCAATATCATAAGAATTATAGACATAAATATTTTCATGTGAATAGTTTCTTTGTAAATAAGTTTAATAAAAAATAAAAAATACAAATCTGTTTTTTACTGTTTCATCATATTCAGTTTATCATCATCATTACAGCCGATGACACTTCCACTGCTGATCATAGGCCACCACCTAAGGAATGCTACAAAGTACGGTCCTAAACCAGCTGCATCCATCGACTTCTGGCGTCTCTAACCAGATCATTACTGCAACTATTGGGGGTGGGGGCAAAGTTATTATAATCAGTTATTATTATACACGTTACAAGTTATTATAGTCATAGTATTATAGTAGTGGTGTAATAGTTACAAATATTTACAATTCACTTGAATGTAAGTAAATATTTCCCATTTAAATTTAACTTCTCACATATCTCACGTAAAAGGTTACTGTTAATTTATTTAAACTTGTTAAGAAAAAGATATAACTTAGTAATATTTTGACAAATACAACAACCCCATCAACAATGGACGGCTTTTATTTGAACTATGAAATCAAATGTTTAAAACATTTAGCGCTATTTCCTCCCTTTGCTATTAAATCAGTGGTAGTATTATGCTCACCTAGATTTAGTAGCAGACTGAAATGAACATAGAATTACAATTTAAGGTCATTTTAAATTACATTATTTTTTTGTAACAATACTTTCGACTTTGTGGTCAGAAATAAGGAATAGTTTGGAAAATCCAAAAGTACACGCCTCATGAGCGTTTAATGTTTTTAAATACTAGTAATGCTATTTAACTTTAAAATGCTGTGTAAAAAATGTTTAATTTTATTAAACATTACTAATATTCCCTTTTACCACTTCTGGTAAGCTTAAAATGCTTGTGTTAGAAATGGCGTATTCGAATTCACGACCTTTCGAGTTCGCGGTCCACGCCCTGCCATTGGGCTACTGAGGCTACTGGATTTAATTTAGATAAAAAAATAAATTGTATTACTGACTTTTAAAATATTGGAAGAAATTGTTCCACTTCTCTTGTTATAAATAATTTTCAAAATTATTTAAATAAAAGAACACTACTCGATAAGAAACTCTGCTGACTATCAGGACACAATTACATGATAAAACCAAAGTATGCAAACCAACAGCAACACTACACATTTCAACGTAACACAGTGCAGCCTCTCAGCAACACTATCTTCCATGCCTACACAAAAACGATATCCCAATGGGCGTAGTAACGACAGTGAGACTCGTAGAATTACCAACTGATCCCTTTTAGTCACCTGCGCGATACGTTATACTGCTAGAACGGGTGGGAGATTTTAGTTCAACCTTAATTTTTTCGTATTTTCTTTTATTATTTACCCTCATTCCCAACACGGCCTCTCCTGACAGGACATTGTCCTGGGGCTCTCTTTAGCTTTGAATATCCGTCTCCATCAACGGCGTGTGGAGTGCAGATGCCGTGTCGGTCAGAGGCAATGCGCTTGGCAATGGCTCTACGTTAGCACACGCTACAACGTATCGTATTTGTCAGATTTTGAAAAAAGTCCTGAGCTAAAAAGCTTTTTTGAAATCAGTAAGAAATAACCTTAACATCTACTTAAGTCATAGGCACGACGTTAGCATCCCCCCCGAACGGGTTCCCGCCTTGTCGTGGCGGGGGGGGGGGGGGGTTTAGTAGCCGTGGCTTGGTCACCCACGGTGAACAAAGAGAAACCCCTTGGCTGGCCCGTGGTGTAGGGTGGCCACTCCGAGTGGGCTTGGCGAGCCCACTTCGGATGTGTGTCGGTGGGCTGCGCTGAGAGGGGTATCCGCTCCCTCTACCGCTGCAGCCGAGGTGGAGTCGCGGAGGAAGAGGAGTGTTGGTATGGCGATGCGCCACTCGCCCTATCCTCCGCGACTTTGACCGCCGTTAATGATGCAGTGGTGGTGGGACCGCGGGGGGAGAGGAGTGTCGGTATTGCGAGGCGCCGCTCTCCCTACCCTCCGCAGCCGAATCTTGGTTGGTGGCGGAGCCATAGACCAGATCCGCCGCTGGGGTCAGGAAGGCTGGAGCTTCTGAGTGCTAGTTTTTCCTGGCCCCATGTCCTTCGCGCATCGGACACGGGGGCGTCTGTTGGAGGCCGAGGAGGAGGGCGCGCCATGTGTTCTGGTACGCCTTACCTGAGAAAGAGATGGGGGAGGAGTAGTCTTCTCCCGAGGAGAGGCCGGCATGGGGCGGCCAGCGTAGGTGGGGCCGCGGATGTGTGTGAAAGCGTTCCCGTGGCCTTGCCAATATGCGACGAGGGTGGAACACCATGGGGTGTTAGTCAGTGCGAGTCCGACATAACCCGTCCTTGCCCCCGCGAGACGGGTATGCGTAGGCATTTCCCCATGTAAAAAAAAAGGCACGACGTTAGCATATCTTAAGCTAGATGCAACAGAGACACGAAGTTAGCTTAATATTACTTTTTCAGAAAGGAAACACTACGTTAGCTTTTTCTGACACATGTGTAACCCTCAAAATAAACATGTGGCAAGCAAACCTCATGTGGAGGCTAAAGTAACATTACTGGCTTAATGTAATAATTATACGTTAATGATTGCACGTGGAGGTTGGCGGTCTTCAATTTTACAAAACCATTCAGCTGTTTTTTATCTCCTCATTTTAAAGGTAACTGCATGCAGAGCCGTGGGCTAATACACACATTGCAAGTATAAAAAGGCAACCGTATGAAATATAACACATTGCAGAAATAAAAAAGGCAACTGTGTAAATTATCAAATATTGCAAACGACAATCATTAAATCGTCTCAGTCGGATAGATATCTGCGCGACATGGCTCACCACTCGCAACGCAAGCTGACAAGCGTCAGACGTCCATTTGCCACGCCAAAACATCATGTGTTTGGCGGCCGCTTGAGGTGTCTTGACGAAAGATTCGCCGATAAGTTGCAGGCTGTAGCGTTTAATTTTACCAGCGTCGGCCGCACCTCATCATGTCCAATTAGCCGTCACGACATCTTCCTCATTGATTATTGTTTGTACTTCTACAAACCCCTCGACATCAAACCCCAATTTATGTCAACCACATAATATTCGGAGTAAACTGTAACCACTTATTAACACATTAGTATACAAAAAGGCTACTTATTTTTTTAAATTCATAGCACGTTAAAGTTAATCCTTTATTTGGGTACATAGCTTAAACATTTCGAACTTTAAAATGTAAATCAAGTTTCGCATGAACAATCAAATTATGAAAAAACTCGATCAAGGGAAGTTTTCACTAAATGCAAAACTATAACTCATCTAGGTGCCTTAAAAATTTCTTTCAAAATATGTTAACATATCTATTACATAAATTAATAAATTATAAAAGTACTTGCGGGTACCTTTAATATAAATCGAACAAAAAGATTTAACTTTTGGCTTAAAACATTTCACTTTTACACACTTGGACACTTTATTGATTCATCAATGTCCTAAATAGGACAACGAACTTCATTACGACATTTACCATAAAAACAAAACGCGAGGCGCGTCATAGTCTTTCACCAACGTAATTACCCCCACACTATTCGGAGGTGGATTGATATCAGGTATTTTATCCCAATTCTCATGTAAGAAATTGTTCTACTGCCTGCATAATCTCTCCCTGGTTGTGTCGGATTTCTGTCCCATTGGATTATGAGAGTGAGGAAATAGAGAGAGCACCTGTGTTTGCGTACATACCCTATAATTCTTCCTGTTCCGATGGTTACTCTTCGTTGAGACTGGTCGCCGTGAGTGAAATACGGTCTGGAAGACATTATATTTATTTCCAAAAAATGTAGGCAATTTCTTCTTCTTGTAACGTTGTCTTGTGGCATTGTAATAATGATAATGATGGAGCGATAGAATGTAATTTTGTCTAATTATATATATCTTTAAATTTTTATTTAGGACATTCTACGGAATATAATAATTTGTGGAAAAAGAAAACTGTATTTTAAGTATTTTTGAGGTTAGGTTGTTAATTATCTAATTTTAAAAAATTATCGAGAGCAAAATGAAAATCAAAGGTCGCAAGATAATAAAGAAGTAAAAATTCATTAAAACTTTAAAAATGGCTGTTAACACTAATGAAGCAAATGATGAATTCTTAGCTATCTAAAAAAAAACAATTGTAATGTGACTGTAAATCGAATTTAATTGAATCGCCTTGTAATTTATTTCAAGTACCCTTTAGAATCTTATAAGCGTACAACCAATCAGTAATAGATGGATAAAGCTGAAACTTACCCAGTGAGTTATGGAGTCGGTCTCGGGAATTTACGGCAGCAGAACAAAAGTAAGCTATATATTTCATCACTGAGTACTTCTAAGACAAATATGTGCACACTTTACATCATCATTAAATCGTTTTCATAGTAATAATCAAAAGACAAAAAATGAAATTCTAATGTTCACTGAAATGATGCGTCATTTCTGTAAA